ACCACCAGTATTTATAGAGAGACGGCAGCTCCGATCACACACTGCTTGCACTGGCACGAAGCCGAAAGCACCAGCCTCAGGATGGCGAGTGGGACCTCGCCGAAATGTCACCAAGATACTCTTAATCTTACATGGGAAAAGACCCAAACACACCTAGACCTACATACATATATACATATATACATACATACATACATACATACATACATACATACATACATACATTCATGCTTTCAGGAAGAGATGATTCCACCAGACTGTCAATTATTTGGAAGCCTGTACTCACAAACAAAAAAATCTCCACATCACAAGCCAGGCAAACACCTGGGCACAAACAGATCCCCCCTGATACCTCCAGCTCAAACACACCCCAACCAGGCACCCAGTTGAAACCTAGCTTCCTAATAAATGATAGCCATCCATTTACTCGGAGCCAAGCTGCACTAAAAGCCTCCAATACAGGAACACAATTTTGCCAGCCAATCAAGACAAAAAAAAGCCACAAAACAGACAGAAGATATTAGAAACACCAATCAAGCAGAACACAGCAAACTCCAAGACCAATAAATACAGACCAAGACTCCCAACCAATCAGGATGAAGAAAAAACCATTCTGGCATAGCAGTAGGCTAGCCCCAAATTTAAAACTGAAACGGCTGTGAAAGTCTGACTCACAGACGAACACAATACAGAAGCCTGATGATGGCAGATGAGATTCTGCCGAAACGTTGCTACAACTTTAAAAGCACAACTATAATGATGTGGGAAAATATGTCAAACATTACAAATACCTTGCCTTAAATTCAGGGTGGTAGAAGAGATCACAGAACCAAAATTTGAGAAATCCAAATGTCTAGTCTAGGGGTGCCAAACTCAAGGCCCTGGGGCCGGATCCACCCCACAGGGTGCTTAAATCTGGTCTGCGGGGCCACCCTGGAAATAGCAAGGGACCTGCCTGCAGTGCCTTTGCCAATGAAAATAGAGCTCATGAGGGCCATGCACAGCCCTCCCAGACTTGGTTTTTGCCCACGATGGTCTCTTGTAGTCCTCTGCCAGTGAAAACAGAGCTCGGGAGGGCGTGTTCCCCCTCCCCGAGTTCCATTTTCACTGGTAGAGAGCTGTAAGAGGACATTGCGGCTGAAAATGGAGCTCAGAACCCCGTTTTTGCTTACAGAGAGCTCAGGCAACCACAGGCACATACCCTGAGAAGTGTGACATCAAGCTGTCCACACCCACCCTGGCCCCCCAAGGTCAAATACAACCCTGATCCGACCGTCAGTGAAATGAGTTTGACACCCCTGTCTAGTGACTACCTATCTAAAACTTCTTCTGAAAGATGCACTTTAAGAAAGACTTTTCAGAATATTCTTAGAGCAATTTTAGGTAACTTTTTACATAAGAGCCAGGATGAGTCAGCAAGAATAAGACCTCTGGCTTTTAGAGTCCTAAATAGAAGATCTTCCTCCTGTCTTATTTTTTCTTAATTAAGGGTTTTGGAAATTCAGCAGTATCACCAAACACAATTCAACTTGTTGGCATACCATGAGTTATCTGGGTGGAGGAAAAGCAGAAGCTATCTAACAGCTCTTCTACCCAATTATTCTATTAATCCCAGTGTTAAATCTCTTTGCTTATAGCTACACTATTCTTCCCTCTTGTTTGTACATGAATTCCCCATGAAAGCTTCTTTCATTGTATACTACCATGCACTAGACTTTCTTCTTTTGTTGTTTTCTTTGAAGTTGTTTCATTTGTCATCCAAGAAGTTTCTTCAGAAGGTAGAGACATTAACCTGCATTATAGGGAAAGGGTGCTATTTGGTGGCAAAAATCAACTGGAGTTGCTGAGATAGTCAGGAATTTTTTTTTCCTGCACAGAATAGAAATGGAAAATAAATCAGTAAGTTTAAAATCAAAGTAGGGTTTCAACAAATTTACAGCATTTTTTACTTTGTGAAACTTGTTACTACTGTATTTTTGTTAGAATCTCCCATCTCCATATGATCAGTGAAATAGAATGCTCTATTAAACTCCGAAATAATCTCCTTTTCAAGTATGAGTTCTGCATTGGTCATACTGCAGTATATTGGACTCTTAGCTTTCTATTACTAGTATCATTTCTTTTTGTATCATTCCATCATACATCCAGGATTATCCTTGATTTTGCTAAAGGAAACCTCTAGAAAATTAATACATAAATTTGAACATGGGAAGGAATATTGCTTCTGCAGTAAAGTATGTCTATTGCTGACCAAGAATGGAGAAGTATCATTCTTTATTTTAAGAACTGATATCCCACCATTAATGTTTCATACTGATCATTGGTATGATATAATGCAATATTTTGATTAAAAAACAATAATAAACTGCAGATGTTCTATTTTTATTTCTTCATGTGGAGTAGGTGGAATTACAAAAATCTTTGAATCTTTACTGACAGAATAGGACATTTCTAATTTGCTTACTTACACATTTCCTGATGTTACTGAAGAAAATAGGTGAATCAGAATTTCTATCCCTGTTCACATTTAGTGAACTAGAACATTTGCATGGCAATTTATTGATTGTTATCATGTATAGCAGACTTTCTCAACCTCAATAATGTATTGACTTCAACTCCCAGAATTCCTCAGGCAGCCAGTTGAAGTCCACGTGTCTTAGCATTCCTGTGGTTGAAAAACACTGGTGTATACAGTTTGGATTAGTAAATCTCATATGATCTACTAGTGGCACCATTTCTAATGACAGCTTCAGTTCTTTGATTTACTGCATCTCTGCTTCTGCTGCATGCTAGAGGAATGCACTAAAGAGAAAACATATCAAAAACTGAACATCTTTCACTCATGCTTCTTTTAGTAAGTTCAGCAGAACCCAAAACAGAAATTTTGATCAATATAGTTGTCCATTTCTGAAGCTCTATAGCTACCTCTGGTGGGTGGTTTACTGGTTTTACTGCATATTGCAAAGAGTTGGGCTAGGTGATTCTTATGGTGTTCTGCAGTTCGGTGATTGGCAGTAGGATAAAAAGGATTTCATCTTACATAGAATCTATAGGCAGATTTTATCCTGAGATTTCATCATTGCATTCCAATAAATGAAGCTGCTACTTATATACAAATGATCTGACCAGTATTGAGTTGAAATGTATCACTTTGGCTGGAAAGAGGGAGAGGAAGAGAGGGAAGGAGAGAAGAGGAAACGAAATAAGGAAAGGAAAGGAAATAAGGAGAGGAGAGGAATGGAAAGGAAAGGAAAGGAAAGGAAAGGAAAGGAAAGGAAAGGAAAGGAAAGGAAAGGAAAGGAAAGGAAAGAAGGAAAGGAAAGGAAGGCACTTCTATCTGTTATTTTCACTAAGCAGACTCCTTATAGAGCAGGGGTGTCAAACTGATGTTGTCATAGCAGCATCATGTGACATATCAGAACTTTTTTCCCCTTCACTAAACTGGGCATGGGGGTGGCCAGCACGTGATTCATCCAGCCTGTGGCCCAGGAGTTTGACAGAACCTCTTATAGAGTCTCATGTAAAATCATTTTTTTTTTAATCTGGGTATTTTCTATTTCTTCCATTCCCACCTCATTTTGTCTTTATATTTTGCCTTTACATTTTTCCATTTTCTTATGACAGTGGATGGGAGGTGGACAGCATGGAGTAAATGGTCTACCTGTGGAACAGAATGTACCCACTGGCGCAGGAGGGACTGCACCGCACCGGCACCCAAGAACGGCGGCAGAGACTGTGAGGGCCTTGTCTTGCAGTCCAAGAACTGCACAGATGGGCTGTGTATGCAGAGTAAGTGGAAGTACCCTAATGCTGCTTTGTTGACATTGCCATTTGGGATGGACAGACAGAGTGAAACAGTTTAGAGCTCTAGCCTTCTCTTGATATTTGAAGAAAGAAAGAATTCATGTAACTCTGTACTGGAAAAAAATTCAAAAGAAATTCCCCATAGCAGAGGAACAAACTCACCTTTAAAAGGTTTGGCATAGCTTCGCAGAAACAAGTCATCTCCTGTGCTCTTCTAATCCCTTTTTCGGTGTGTTTGGATTATAGCTTCCTGCTAGTTTGAGTATGGAAGGAATTGACCTTCAGATGTCCCTCAAAATTCCAACAGAATTAGTACAGTTCATGTTGGGTCATGACATCTAAAGCCTTCCATCTATTGATTTACTCAGCCTGGCATTTAAGCTAGGAGAGATGTTTTTAGGAGGAGCAAAATATCCTCTTTGTCTTGTTGTTCTTGACTGTAGTTGGCACCTGACAAAAAAGTACTAGCTGTATTCTGAATAGGTATCTCTGTTGCTTTGCATGTGTTCATTCATAAGCCCATATTATCATTTTTCTCATTGCTCTGTTCCATATTTTAAAAATGAAGGAAAGCATAAACCTGTCTGATACTGCAATCCTATTGCAAATCTGTTCAGTAGTAAATGCAGTTTCATTCTGAAAATTAATTGCACATAATTAGCACCCTTGTCCTTCAGCACATATTAGAGAGAGAGAGAGAGAGAGAGAGAGAGAGAGAGAGAGAGAGAGAGAGAGAGAGAGAGAGTTTTTTGTAAGCCAATTTTTTTGTAAGTGCCAAATTTCCAAAATTAAGTTTGGGTCACGATCAAATCAGATTGCAACCAAAGTTATGGAATGAATTATGGTCATGACCAAATGTTCTACTGTAATAAATATTTGGGGCAAAGGGATAACAAGAGCAACATCCCAAAATGTCTGAGAAGTATGAAATCTATACTATTATTATATCTATTTCACACATAGATTTCCACTATGATGGATATCAGGATGACAATCCTTTAGATAGAGAAGATACCAAATTTCATTGAAAAAGAATTAGTTTCTCTTTAAATATATAAGTGCATATGGATTTTTTAAGGAGAGATCGTGATTATGTTATTAGAGTCTTGTTAAGTTTTTTTCTTCTTAATTAGTTGTATCTTTACATAAAATACTAGGGAATCAACAATAGTAAACATAGAATTTGAAAACATGCATACAGTTGCATTTGGTGATTCTGTGTGCTTTCCTAGAAAGTACTTTAATAAAATTGTATTTATTTTACTTGTTAATGATATTTGCAGGCTAGCCACTTAGAACAACTCCGATAAGCGTGCAGATTAAAACTTAAAAATCAATAACAATCTAAACTAAAGACAAAAGAAAATGGAGGGGACGAACAAATGCTGAAACATGAAAACCACCATGTAATGAGCTCACAGCATTCCTTAGCCCAATGTTTGGGGAGTCATTTCTGAAAGAAATTAGGGTTAGAACTGTTCAGCTATCTGGAAGAATTCTGTTTCAAAAGGCAAATAGTGAAGCACGCCATCTCTGAGACACAAATATGGGACCTGAAGCATGCTGTTGTGGTTAGCCGGCAGCAGGTGTGGATGGGTGAGGAGAGCAAGGACACAGAAGGCCAGGCCAGGACCATTAGGGAGTGGACTGCTGCCTTCAGAGATTGTGGGGGTTGGCAGCAGCGATGAGGAGGTTTCCAAGGAGCCTGTGCCATGTGCGCATGCACGCAGGATTGCTCATAGGAAAGAACAGCTGCAACAGCATGGGCAACTTGGGAGTAAGGCTGCAAGGTAATGGCCCCTCCTTCAAGAAGATAAAAGGCAACTGTGAAGCGAACGTTCTTTGCAGGAAGCAAAGACATTTTGAACTCAGCCTCGTGGACATTACAGTTAGTATTTGAAGACTCTTGTGTTGTAAAATATTTCTTATCTGTTTTTTTTTGGCAGCCTTGCAAAAACTTGGCAAGGCTCTTCCTCGTAGGAGCTAATTAGTTGGAAGCAGCCTTTTATCTGTGAAGAAACAGGATTCATAGATGAAACATTGAAAGGTTGTGCTGCTGCCTTTGTCTTGTGTTTGCTCTCTTGGAACCAGGTTTGGGTCAGAACACATGCCAACTCTATCAGATCTTATAGGATAGACAAAACCATGGGAGAAAGATAATACTTTAAATAACAAGGCTGCATGCCATGGAAAACTTAATACAGTACATGACAACCAATATATTGAATTGCACCTAACTCATGTACCAAAAGTTTTAGATTAGGGGTGTCAAACTTGATTTAATTAAGGGCAGCATCCGGGTTGTGTTTGATCTGGGGGGGTGGGGTGGAGGAAGCATGGCCAGGGTGGGCATGGGCAGCTCAATATCACTCATGTGATCAAATGCCACTTTTGCTAGTAGTTTGTTTTGCTAGCACTCTGCCAGGGAAAGTGGAGTTGTGAGGGCCATGTCCAGCTGCGACGGTCTCCTGCAATCCTCTGCCAGTGAAAACAGAGCCAGGGAGGCCTACTTGAGTGCGCAGCTCTCCCGAGCAGCCAAAAACAGAGCGGCCCCTCCTGAGCTCCGGTTTTCTCTGGCAGAGGCACTGTTGGCCGGTCCTTCACTGTTTCCAGAGTGGTCCCGTGGGCCAGATCTAAGTACCCTTGAGTTTGAAACCCCTGTTTTAAATGAACACACTTTGGCATAGCTATAACTGTTCATGCCACCACGTTTTGGATCAGCTGAAGTGGTCTTCTGAGTGGTCTTCAGAAACCATCCCAAGTACAGGATATTCCAGTAACTCAGATGACAAGTGACTAATGAGAGGGGGCTCGTGATCCAAGAATGGATACAATTGGCATACAAAGGTGTTCCTGGACATAGCTGTCACTTGTTCTTCAAGCTGGAGCTGTGAGTCCAAGAAAATCCCCAAATTGCATACAAATTATATTTATACTTGCCTATAAATGTTTTGGATTCTATTTTAGATTGTGTATATTAATAGTTTGCAAAAATGTGAAGGAACAATTATTACTTATTAAGAACCATACCATTATTTATGTTCTCCTATGGTCTTTAGTCATACAGATTAAGAAAGCTTTTGAAGTATTACGACAGTGAACACATAGCAGATAATTCCTTTACACTATTGCTCCTTTTTATGTTCAAGGTATTGTAAAGGAAAAACAATTAAAGCTCATAATATTCATCTCAAATGTTGATAGCCATTTTATTTTTCATTTCACCAAAGGAAGGAAAGGAATCTCTAGAAAGGAAGACAACAATTAGATGATTTGCAAAAGTGTCAAACTTTGGTAACGTTAGATGGAGGAGAAAAAATGTCTGACTTTTATAATACAGCAAATTATGCATCGCTTCAATTCAGCTAGTCCTCGACTTTCAACATTTCATTTAGAATGGAATGGAATGGAATGGAATGGAATGGAATAGAATAGAATAGAATAGAATAGAATAGAATAGAATAGAATAGAATAGAATAGAATAGAATAGAATAGAATATTATAGAATAGAATAGAATAGAATAGAATAGAATAGAATAGAATAGAATAGAATAGAATAGAATTCTTTATTGGCCAAGTGTGATTGGACACACAAGGAATTTGTCTTGGTGCAAATGCTCTCAGTGTACATAAAAGAAAAGATACATTTGTCAAGAATCATAAGATTCAACACTTAATAATAGTCATAGGGCACAATAAGCAATCAAATCATTCTAGGAAACAGTCAATATAGATCGTAAGGATACAAGAAACAAAGTTGCAGTCATACAGTCACAAGTGGGAGGGGATGGGTGATAAGGAGTGATGAGAAGATTAAGAGTAATAGTAGTGCAGACTACTATTTCATTTAGTGACAATTCAAAGATACAATGGTACTGACAAAAAGTGACTTATGACTGTTTTACACACATATGACTGTTGCAGCATTCCTGTGGTCACATGATCAAAATTCAGATGCTTGACAACTGACTCATATTTATGATGGTTGCATTGTCCTGGGGTCATGTGATCACCTTTTGCGACCTTCTGATAAACAAAGTCAATGGGGAAGCCAGATTCCTTTAACAACTGTGTTACTAACTTAACAACTACAGTGATTCACTTAACAACTGTGGCAGGAAAGGTCATAAAATGGGGCAAAACTCACTTAACAAATGCCTCACTTAGCAACAGAAATTTTGGGCTCAATTTGTGGTCATAAGTCAAGAACTACCTGTAGTTCTGAATGACCTGTCGTGACACATTATGAAGACAAAACATTCTTTATTTTATATATATTGGTATCACTTGATATTTAGATAGGATGATACTGTTCTTGCATGTATGATGAAATAACCTTTTGTGCAGAAATTTGGAATGAAAATACCATAAAGTACCTCCAGGCAGGGGTGGGATGCTACCAGTTCTCTATAGAACTGGTAGCTCTGAAGAGCAGCAGACACAGAACCGGTTCTATGTCTGCTGCTGTTTGGCCCACCCGCTTGCCCGGGCTCTTACCTGTCCTTTATTTCCTGCTTTTTCAACCTCAGCTGCTTTGCCCAGCATAGCTGAGGTTGAAAAAGCAGCAAAAAAGTGGTTTTGCAAACGCTGTGCACCCGCGCACAGCGCTTATCAGCTGTCCAGGCAGCACAGCTTAAGTTGCATTACATGCACGTGTAAAACGTAATCACTGAACCGGTAGTAACACCAGTTAAATCCCACCCCTGCCTCCAGGTGCTAATATTATATACTGTCCTTTTCTTTAGCAAGGTTGTATTGCTGAATTTAAAGACTTCACTACTTTTAGGAAAATTTATGATCTATTAAGAAAACTGTGTATGTATACTAAGCTTACATTTATTTATCAAAAATCTATACCACCCATATCACTTAAGTAACTCTGGGTGGTGTACAACATAATAAAACATTATAAGCCCTGAATAAAAGTACAACTTAAAACAAAGTTTAGAAAAAAGTTAAAACTTATAAGTTAAAGCAAAAAAATA